AAAGTTTCATGCTGGAGGATTCTTGTTGGATGATGCTCTACATTCAGGTAGAGGTATATAAGTTGATAGTGATCAAATTAAAACATCGATTGCTAACAATCAATATTATACCATGCAGGAGATATCTTATCTACTCAAAATATCCAAATAAAGTGTTGAAAATCATTTTCACCGAATTGGTTATGCTAATCATTTAATGTTTGGGTAATACATAACTTAAGCAATATATATCATGGTATATAATATATAAATATAAATAAATAAATAAATAAATAAATAAATAAATATAGGCAATGTTACCAAATGAGATTATTTAAATGTAACAAAAATATTCCATTTTAAACAATTGTGACAGGCAATGAAACATGGACACTTTACAGTAATGTGGAACAGAAGAGATCTGTCACCCTCGGCAGCCACTCCAAAGGCCGGTATTCATCCAAAGATGGGTATGTTATGTATATGGTGGAATTGGAAAGAAGTTAGATTTTATGAGCTCCTTCTGGGAAATCAAACAGTTTATTCTTACAAGTACTGCTCAAATTCAACCAACTGAAAGCAGCAGTGGACAAAAGCATCCAGACTTAATCAACAGAAAACACACTATCTTCCATCACGATAAGGCAAGAACACATGTTTCATTGATAACGAGGCAAAAACTGTCACAGCCTGGCTGGCAATTTCTCATTCATGAGCTGTGTTCACCAGATGTTGCATCTTTGCATTTCCATTTATTTAAGTCTTCAAAAAATTCTCTTAATGGGAAAAATTCAATTACCTGGAAGACTGCAAAAGGCAGCCTGAACAGTTCTTAAATCAAAAAGAAAAAAAAAGTTTTGGAAATATGGAATTATTTCCTGAAAGATGACAGAAGGCAGTGGAACAAAAAGTGAATACATTGTTCAATGAGGTATTAGTGCAAAAGTAACATGTGTCTTTTGTTTTTACTTTAAAACCAAACTAACTTTTTGACCAAACCAATTTCTTGACCTCCTAGAACACATGTCATTAAATACATTCAAAGTGGGGGGACTGTGAAAAGGGCATGATAAAGACACACAGCAGAGTTCTCTGAGAAAGCTAACAGAAGACATTGATTCCAGAAGTTGAAAGTGGCTGGTGTGGATAGAAGCTGTAAGGAGGCTGCTCAGAATGAGGCTCACAGAAAAGACAACCACCTCTGGTTCACTTCAGATTTGCTTTTTCATGGTAGATTTTTCACAGAGCCAGCAACTAGACTGACAGTGTGGGAGTCTGAAAGGATTTATCAAAACACAAAAATCCTCTTTACACATGTGTAGTAATAGTTACACTCATTTCAAACAGACATTCACTAATTTTCTCCAGCTTCTTAAGAGAAATTTTCAGCTCATGATAGTTGCTATTTATCAATGTTCCCATAAAGGTATTTCCCAATGTGGATTCAACTCTCGATTCTTCTATAGATCTATTCCACAGTGCTAGCCTCATAGATGCTGACTGTGTATCTGGGCTGTGGACACTGGAGACATTAGTGATCTCAGGGATGGCCAGCCCACCTGCTGTTTCACATACTGTCATCTGCTGAGGCCACCCATGGGCTTGTCCATCAGAATGTCATGTTACTTGTTGGAACACCTGGTTGACTCTGAACTAAGGTGTGTAACTGTTTGAGGTACCCTGGAGACAGCATCTTGCTGGACTCACACATGACACAGGAGTGACCTTCACCAGGACCTAAGATATGTGCCATCATAACTGATACCATAACAACCCTGATGGGGGTTAAAGACAGGCCACAAACTCAGAGAATATACATTGAAATTGCATATTTAAAAAAACGACTAGTGTCATGAACACACAATAAATTTGCAAAAAAAAAAAAAAAAAGAAAAGAAAAACCAAACCAAACCTAAGCCAGTCATTGGAACAGACACCTGCTCAAAGGATGTAGCCAATTGAGAAGCAGCATGGTGCTTTCCCCGCAGCATGAAAATAGAAGCCCCACATGAGCAGCAACCCAGTGTCCAGTGCTTTCCTCCAATAGAACACAATCAGGGTCTGGAAGAGAGAGTTTCCCTCCACATTGCCAAGCATGGGAACCTTCTACATGCCCATCAGGGAATGAATAAAGTGTGTTATTGCGCACAATGCAAACTTCCTACTTTGCCTTGAAAAAGAAGGGATCCTGCCACAAACTGCAACATGTATGACACAGAAATATGCCAGGCCATGTGCACTAAGCCATCAGGAAGAACCATCACCATGTAACTCTATGGAAGTGACCCATTTGAGTGAATGCAGCTCATGGACACAGGCAGCAGGATGGTTCAGCGTTAGAGGAGGAACTTGGGAGGTGGGTGTTCCCTGCCTGGAATTTTCCATCATGAGGCAGAGTCAGGGCAGGGGGTTGGCTGTAGAGCCTGAGACTGTAATCAGTCACATTGTGTGGTACACTCAGGATTTATGGTGGATACATCACATGTGATGGGTTCTCACTGTGACAAGGTGACAGGAGAGGGACCGTGTTAAAATAGAGTTGGAGCAGCCATTTCAGACAAACCACCTGGCACATCTTCCTTCTACAACATGTGCAGGGTGTGCATCAGCACAGTGTACAGGTGTACACTGGGTTCCCAGGACTGCATTTCACACAATTGTTTGGACAGATAGCAGGGAAGATGTATTCTGACTACTGGACTGAAAATCGGAGACAAACTTCAAATTTGCATCCCCACGTACAGGTAGAGTAATGTAGCTTGTCTGCAGTGACAGAAGCTCCTCCCCTCTAGTCCTGTACCTGCATCCCTCCCTGTCTAACAAACACCCCTTGACTTCATCCCTACTTAGAGCAGTATTGGTGCTTCTGTCTGAATCCCTACTTCCCAAATTGCTTTTCTTTTTTATCTCAGATAAACAATGATTACCGCTCTCTTTGTTTTTTTTTTATTTTAACAGTATCATTACACTAATTAAAAGGTAATCCTGCTGCATGAAACCACATAGACAGACCTGAGGACATCATGCTGAGTGAAGTGATGCAGGCAAAGATGAGTAAACTCCAAATTTACCCTCTTATGTCAGGACTCACAGACAGTCCAGGCACAGAGGGCCATGTGGTGGTTGCCCAGAAATGATAGGGGGGACAAAGGAAACTGTCTTTCCCAGGGAGGAATATCCTGTTTTGAGGGCTGGTTCAGATTTGAGGTTGGCTAAAATCCCTGTACCTAGGATTAACAAGCAGCATGTGCTTTTGGTTTGTGCCAAGGATAGATCTCATGTGAAATTCTCACCACAACAGAAAAAAAGCAGATGGGATTTCAACTACAGCAGGAGGGCATGGATGGCTACAAGGGATTCAGTCCTAGTCAGAAGGCAGACATTGCTTTTAAAAGTCCTAACCTGACTGGAGATGGTCCTATCGGCATGCCAAGAGTGAAGAAGAATTTACTCCAGAAGAGATGCTGACAGAGGGAAGAGCTAGAAAACATAAACAAAGATACATATCCTTCCTTCCCTGTGGCCATACAGCAATGAAATCTCCCCAGACAAGCACATTCAAGAGCACAGATTCCCTGCTTCCAGCTCCTGGTAATAGGTTTCCTTTCCAAAGGGGAGCATGTCACTGTCCCTAGTTCAGTCCCAAGCTTATGGCTGCTGAGATTGAACTCCAGGCAGCTGCCACCAAAAGACAGGACTCCCTCTGTCCAGTCCATCCCTCTCCTGGGATGGAGGTTGTGTCCATGACACAGCACCATTAGGATGCTGGGTTGCTGACTGCCCCCCCCCCACACCTACTCCCTGGCAGGGTTCACCCACCAGGGCAGGCAGAGCATTGAGACAGAATATGTCAGCACCCATCTCTGAGCACTCAGTCCTCATTGGGTAAGGAGTGAAGCTGTCTTTGTCCTCAGTGACAACGGAAGAACCTGCCTCACAGCTTTTCTGGAACAGGGCTGGGAATCAGCCATCAGGTGGATTTCCACATCTATCCCCATAGTGATTATGTCATTTCCAGCAGTGTGCAGAAGTGCTAGAGGACTGGGTGAGGCGAAAGGCCATTGCAGGAGATGGGATCAGTGGAGTGTTGGCTGTCATGGGGTCTTGTACTTGGGGAAAAGACCACAGGATGAGGCACCTGGAGGAAAGAGCTGCTGCCAGGACAACATCAGACCTGGTCCTGGACACTGTGCATTCACTGGGGCCTGGAGGTGTTTGCTTCCATGTATGGAGCTGTCCATCCCTCAGGGCTGTGTTGAGAATGAGAAAAATGTAGGTCTGCATCGAGTGCAGCTTCCCACTTGGGAATGCAGGAAAGAAACAGAAAGCCCGGTGAAGCCACTGTTATCCTGGGGTGGCCATGTGATCACCAGAACAGGAGCCTCTGTAGTGTCTGAGCCTGAGTCCTTCCATGCTGAGTGATAAGTGAGACCCACCAGCATTGATGTCTGTTATCAGCTGTTCATGTTTTTCATTCTGAGTACATTTGCATTACTGGATGTTTTCTAGTTTGCTTATTTTAAAATGGTAACACTTTTGTGTTGTTTGTAGCTTTCAACAATAGAATCTATAAATATTTGCATATATATTTGTGTGAACATATAATTCATTCTTCTGAAGCAAACACATCTACAGGTATGTAAAGGTCTTGTGTCAAGTATATTTTGATAAAAAAAACAAAACAAAACTGTGGTGCACTTTGTTAAGAAAGAAAAACGGGATATAGAGGGACTTGGTGAAGGAGAAGTCCACAGTCACTGCCGGTATGACCTATGGAAATGGACTGTGTCACTTCCTCATTTATTTTCTGCAGTGAGAATCTGAGAAATTCGATCCACAGAGGAGGAAGTGTCCCTGGAAGCATCTGAGAGCTCTGAGAGGAAATGCCTTCTCCCAAGAGGAAGGCAGGTCTTCCTTCCTCATCAGGCTCACTCCTGCCCCTGGGTTTGTTCTTTCCGGTAGGTGGGACCTGAGCACCCCCTGATGTCCAGAGTGGCACCTGTAGCCCAGTCCTCTTGTATTCAGCAGGAAGTTTTGTATCTGGGCTCACACTGACTTTCTGTCACTGTGGCTGTAGTACAATAATACACAGCCGTGTCTTCAGCTTTCAGGCTGTTCATTTGCAGGTACAGCATGTTCTTTGCATTGTCTCTGGAGATGGTGAATCGGCCTTTCACAGAGTCTGCATAGTATTTCTGACTTCCATCATACCTTATAACTGCCACCCACTCCGGTCCCTTCCCAGGAGCCTGGCGGATCATGTGTATATCAATGGCACCAAAGGTGACTCCAGAGGCCACACAGGAGAGTCTCAGAGACCCCCCAGGCTTCACCAAGCCTCCCCCAGATGCCACCAGCTGCCCCTCACACTGGACACCTGCAAACACAAAGTAATCCTTCTCAGGAAACTGTCACATTCCCACCCTTCCTCTCAGTCATATCAACTCACATGCTCAGTGTCTGATTCTCCATAAATTACCTCCTAAAATAGCAAGAAGGAAAAGCCAGCTGAGCCCAAACTCCATGGTGAGAGATCTGTGCTCCGCCCTGAGCAGGAGCTGGGACACCTGGGAATCCTGGCCTGGGCTCCTGTCTCAGAGCTGCAGGGTCAGGGCTGGGCTGCTTTTCATGAGAAGAGGGGGCCCTATTTGCATGTCCTCCTGCTATACAGTGTGCTGTGTGGTTAGATGGTGACATGGAGGACATGGTCCAAGACTGTGACTTGTCCATACTTCTATGTCTGTTAAGAATTACTTCCCTGTCCTGGCCAGTTTGGTTCAGTTGGTTATAGTGACCTCCTCTAACTGAAAGGATACAGGTTCAATCCCAGGTCTTGGTGTGTATGGGAAGGAGCCAGTTTCTCTCTCCCTCTCTCCCTCTCTTTCCTATCCTGTGAATATAATAAAATAACAGGGAAAATAAAATAATTGGTCCCTTCATTTGGTCCTGTGTGCTCCCCAGGGACCCAACTAATCCAGGAGATTGGCATTTGACCTAGGTCAGTGAGGTAAATTGTCATAAAGATAGAGGGATTTATAATGAGAGATGCCTTTGAAAGTAACCAGTAATGAACCCATCAAGATAAATCAACCCTTACAATGAGAGGGAGAATTAAAATGGAGGAGGTTCATGTTCAGGAGACACGACATTTCATCTGACACCACATTCTATATGGAGGAACCAGAGAAAGAACTAAGAACAGAGTGTGAGCCTAGAGCACAAGGATCCAGTGTTGTAGAAGGTGGAGCATCTGTGTGGATCATTGGAGACAGATGAGTGAACTCTACAGAGAGGCAGACAGTGCCCCCGGGCCATGTCCCTTCAGTGGATTTTGGTGCTGAATATGCAGCAGTCCCACTGCCTCATTTTAGTTTTAGTCTCCAGACTCTGGATCAAACTCTGGGGGCACAGGAGAAACTCACTCAGGACTGGATCTGCTTAAGTGAAGGTGAAGGTACAGATTGTCATATAAGTATGTTTAAATTATAGACATTTCATTATAGAGAAACTTGATCTAATGCCTAATATGATATAACAGAGGATAAAGGAATGATAATTAATATGAAGAAGATCATTGTCTTTTATCCATTGATTACATGATAAATCCTTTTTAAAAATATCCTCCTCTTCTTGGGGCGGTTGGGTCTAACTTTATGTAAAATGGCCAACAATGGTGGTTTATTCTTGTTTCCACCCTCAGCATTTGTGGCTTTCTGGACATGTGACATAGTTATAATCTAAAAGCAAAAAATAGGTTCACCCCTGATTCATTTGAAGTAAATTTCAGAGGCTTACTCTATAAGATCTTCCATCTGTGTTCATGTCTAAACATGACACTTGTGCATGCTGTCATCTCATCCAAATGAGATGGGTGTCACCTGGGCATGAAGTCACATGCTGTGTGGGTCAGTGTGCAGAACTGGGAAGATATCCACCCAGGTATATGGACAGTGGGATTAATCGAGCCTGTAGATAACACTCCCAAATTCTTCTTCTTCATGGTGCAATTTTCTTCCTCATGTGACAAGTCAAAGTTGTCACATGTCATTTTCCTCAGAAATACCCTCACATAGTAATCTAGTAAGTGATATATTGGATTGGCCAAAAAGTGTGTTTTGTTTTTCTGCACATGGGTCTAGAAGCATTTAGTTGTCTTCAACTTCATTTGAAACACTTTTGTTAGATTGTCTTGTGACAGCTCTCATATATGTGTGCATTAAAAAACTTATCCAAGTTGCTGAATTTCTGTGTAGCCATTTAATAATGAAAGTGAAAATATGGAATGTTTTCAGTATATAATGCCTTATTATTTCAAGGAAGTTTAAACTACAACTAAAACACAAAAATTATTATGCAGTGTATGGAGAAGTTTCTATGGCTGATTGAATGTGTCAAAACTGGTTTGTGAGGTTTCATGCTGGAGATTCTCACAAGACAGTGCCCCATGTTTTTTGAGAGAATTGAAGTCTGTAGTGATGCAATTGAGACATAAATTGAGAAAAATCAGTGTTATATCAGGTGGAAGATAGGCAACATACACAAAATATCCAAATCAGTAATGCTATTGGTAAAAAAAAAAATGTGCCTTTTATTTTACAGGTTAAACCACATAATTTTTAGTCAGTTCAATAGAATTTAAAATGGTGAGCTCTGGCTGGTGTAGCTTAGTGGATTGAGCATGGGCTGTGAACAAAAGTGCCCCAGGTTCGATTCCCAGCCAGGGTACCTGCTTGGGTTGCAGGCCATAACCCTTCGCAACCGCACATCGATGTCTCTCTCTCTCTCTCTCTCTCTCTCTCTCTCTCTCTCTCTCTCTCTCTCTCTCTCTCTCTCTCTCTCTCTCCCTCCCTTCCCTCTCTAAAAATAAAATAAATAAAATCTTTAAAATTGGATTGAAAGGGAAAAAGGAAGAGAATCATCCTCAACTCCATGGAGGCTAAGACAAGTGTGTTGGACAGAGTGCGGCAGGCAGGAGGCATGACTGATTTCCAGAATGCTGCTCACACATGCAATCTTTGTTGGGAAAATGTTGAACATCCTGTAGGTGTATTAGAGACTCTCACTGAGAACCTCGTCCTACTTTTATGTGTCTGTTTTTCATACCTCAGCAAACAAACTGGGGACAGCTAATGAGGATTTGCTGTAAAATATGACTTGTTGAAGGCATTTCCTGGTCCTCCCAGACTTCTCAACTAAATCTGTGATAAATGTCCCATGACCCCTTGGTGTGTGTTTTTATCATCAGCCTGAACATCCACACCAAGCTGTCCTAGGTCCCTCTGCTCTGTATGCTGTCACCTACTCTTTTTTCTGTGAGCATGAGGGAAAGTAAATGACCATCATCACTGGGAGTCCTTGTTCTCTAGTATTGGGTTTGTTCACTCTGGTGCCCACTGCCCAGCATGCATGTGCCCTGCAGCTGGCCATCTTGGACACTGAGCTGTGTGGGGTGGGGCTGCACTGCTGGGTGTAGGAGAGCCTCTGGGTAGATTCAATCGATGTGGGTCAAAAGGTTTCATTATTCACTGGAATTGGGCACAAGACTGTAAAAGACTCTGCATTTTGTTTTTCTGAGAATGTCATCTGTCTTGAAAACAAGATTTTTAAACATTCATTTCCAGGCAGAAGAAAAGGGAGGCAGAAAGAGAGAGAGAGAAAGAACAATGTGTGGTTGCCTCTTGCACTCCCCCCACAGGGGACTTGGCCTGCCACCCAGGCATGTGCCCTGACTGGGAATCGAACTAGTGACCCTTTGGTTCGCAGGTCAACATTCAATCCACTGAGCAACACCAGCCACAGGTGTCTTGACAATAAATTTTAATTTCAGAGATTACAGATGTGATTGCAGAACCAAGTCCCCAGGGAGTTTCCCTGAGAGAAACTGTTACACGAAGAGGGAAACCTATGGGATACCATTCCAAATCCAAATGTCCAACTGCACCTGCTCTTCTGGTGGTCCTTGTGTTCATGATCCCTGAGCGCCCCCTGATGGAAACAGCCCTTCCTGCAGGGAAGTTTGTGTCTGGGGTCACAATGACTTCCCCTCACTGTCTGACAAATACACAGTCACGTCTTTGACTCAGGCTGCTTAGCTCCATGCTGGCTGTGCTCACGGACTTCTCTGGTCACATGACTCTTCCCCAGAAATTCAGCATGAGGTTCATGCCACTGTGGTTAAAGTTAACACCCCCATCCATTCAAGCCCTTATCCTGGGGCCTGTCACACTCACTGTACTCTATATTTGGAGAAGGTGCATCTAGTTGTCTTGCAGGAGACCTTCCCTGAGGCCCACATCTTCCTCACCTCAAATGCAGACTGCACTAAGTGCACCTGGGTGTGGACACTGGTTGAGAGGAGACAAGAATGGGTAGAAGTCCTATTTAACTGTCCCAGGTCCCCTCCTCAACCCAGGGACTGTGGAGTCCCTTACCTGGAGTCAATACCATCAGAAAGAGGGCTCTCCAGCTCCGGGTCATGGTGAGGGACTGTGTCATCTGGAAACTTTAGAGGATTGTGTAGCAGTGAGTGATCTTCTTGGGGCACAGAGAGACATGCATTAAATCTAGTCTACCTCTTGTACTTTGCATATTCATGAGGCAGAGAATTTCATAACTGAAAACTTGACCTCACCTGAGAGAAAGTAGGGGACACAGGGGCCATGATGTGAGGGAGTCTGAATGTCCAGGTTCTAATCAGTGATGTAAGATTTGAGCAGCCTGCAATGTCCCTGAGCTCTATGCTCACATAACTCCTCCTATTGTAGAACAAGAACCCACTCTGGATCCTCTTTGTGAACCCAGCTATGAGCACAAAGACCACCTGGGTTAGTTCTGGGCTTTATTATCAGCATGTATTATTCCAGTTTCAGTGTGTTTCCCCAATGCTGCACCTAGTGACAATAAAAACAGCACTGTCCCTAGCTCCTTAGAACTCACATATAAAGATGCTCTGCTGCCCTGGCTGGTGTGGCTCCACTGAACACAGGCCCATGAACTAAAGGGTCACTGGTTAGATTCCCAGTCATGGCACATGCCTGAGTTGGGGGCCACATCCCCAACTGGGGGTGCACAAGAGGCAAACACACATTGATATTTCTCTCCCACTCTTTCTTCTTCCCTTCCCTTTTCTCTAACATAAATAAAGAAAATTCACACAAAGATGTTCTGGGAATACCTCTATTGGCTGTGGTTTTCTTGTCTCACTGACTTCGGCAAATGCTCTGAAAAAATATGAAATTTACAGTCACCTCATGTACAACTCTTATTTCAGATGTTGTGAATTAGAGATGAAGACCCAGGCCCTAAGAGAAAATCCCTCTTCAGCTCCCTCTTCACCTGCTCCTGGGGCAGCTGCCCTGAGCTTGTGGGTCCTGTGCACTGCTTGCTGGCCAGCTTGCTTCCTGCATGTCAGGGTCTGGCCTGGGCACATGTGGCATGCTTCCCTCAGTGACTATGGTCCAGAATTTAAGGCTGCACCCTGACTTTGAGATGCTCCCTCAGGTACACCCCATTCTTTGAGATCTGAAGATACAGATAATTGGCCTTACTAAACTCCAATGAATATGAAGGGGTCCCCCAAGTCAGA